TCAATGTGTCGCGACCAAAAAGTTCGTCCTTTTTTAAAACGACATAACTTTTTTTTTTCTTGAACGATTTTATTTTGGTCTGTGATGTCTGCTAACCCCATCCTCTGGCAATTCATTCTATAGATATTAAACACACGGTTTTTCAAGTAAATTTTCTACAGGGTGATATGTAAAACGGTGAAAAATTTCAATAACTTTATCCAAGCCCCGTTTGTAAAACAATAATTTTTTTTTCGTTTTTACTTTGAAATAATGAAGTATTATGTGTTACCTTGAAACGTTTTTCAAATTTTTCGAATTGGTATCTTAGCAACGAAAATATGATTTTTTTTCCAAAAGAGTACATTTAAGACTTTTTGGTAGGGAATATACTCAGTCTTTTTAAGAACAAGAAAATAAGATGGTAAAAGATTGTTCCTTGAATAATTCTGAACAAGCGACAAGCAACAAACTTCCATTATTTTCAGAGGGGCCTAAGCAAAGACCACTTTTTCAAAATGACATTTTGGTGAAAATTTGCGAAAACTAAACCTGATCCGATATTTACGTTCGAGACATGTTTTCTTTATAATTTTGACCTCCTGATTGTGATTCAGTTGTCAAATTTAAGTTTCAGATAAAACCAAAATCATCAAAAATCAAAATTTAAATTTCTTAATAAAATCCGATTGCTGTCGTTTTTCTTGCATATTTATGATGAAAATGCCATTTGGGGATTCATTTTTTGGGAGAAATTACTGCAATTTGTTTGAGTGGTTAGGATAATGTTACATAACATACATTGCGCAGTAGTGATAACATTGATGAGTACCTAATTGGTAATAAAGTTAAATACAAATATTTTTGTTCATTTTTGAAAATTGTATGCGTAGATATAATCATAATCAAAACTTCAACATTCAACAGAAAAATGTAACAAACAATAACAATAATACCTTTCAATATTTCGTTGGCCCTCCCCTAAGCCGTAATAATTCGTTAACCCTCCTGGGCATTCCCTCGACCAAGTTCCTTAGAAATTTTTGGGGTACCCCATTCTTCCTGAATAGCATTTACCAATTCATCCAAATTTTTTATGCCTCCTTCCCTCTCTTTCATCTTCAATTTTATCCTGCTCGACACATGCTCAATGGGATTCATATCCGGAGACAAAGGTGGCCAATTAATTTTCTCAATATGGTGGTCCCTTAAATACTCATTTACGATATGTAAAAAAAAACAGTAAAAACCAGCAATCGGATTTTATTGACACATTTAACCGCCAGGAATTGTTTTGGAATCTTAGTGATTTTGGTTTTATCTGAGACTTAAATTTGACAACTGAATCACAATCAGGAGGTCAAAATTATGAAGAAAACATATTACGAAAGTAAATATCGGTTTAGGTTTAGTTTTTGCAAACTTTCACAAAAATGTCATTTTCAAAAAGTGGTCTTAGCTGAGGCCCTCTAAAAATAATAGAAATTTGTTGCTTGTCGCTTTTTCAGAATTATTTAAGGAACAATCTTTTACCATCTTATCTTCTTGTTCCTAAAAAGACTGAGTGTATTGCCTAAAAAAAAGTCTTAAATGTACTCTTTTGAAAAAAAATCATATTTTCGTTGCTAAGATTCCAATTCGAAAAATTTGAAAAACGTTTCAAGGCAACACATAATACTTCATTATTTTAAAGTAAAAACGAAAAAAAAAATATTTTATTACAAACGGGGCTTGGATAAAGTTATTGAAAATTTTCACTGTTTAACATATCACCCTGTAGGAAATTTACTTGACCAACCGTGAGATTCATATCTATAGCATAAATTGCCAGAAGATGAGGCTAGTAGACATCACAAACCAAAATAAAATCTTTCAAGAAACAAAAAAGTTATGTCGTTTTGAAAAAGAACGAACTTTTTGGTCGCGACACATTGAGTGGTGCGCAGTTTAGTTCTATATTTGTTCCTTGATTGTTTTCTACGTTGTTTTCATTTTTAGCTCCTTGTCCCGTTCCCAACAGTTCTTGAAAGTATTCTCTCCATCGATCCATAATCTGTGTTTCATCTGTTAGTATTTCTCTACTTTTATTCATGATTCTACTTACTTGCACCTCTTTTTTATTTCTCATTGTTTTTAGTGCGTTGTAAAATAGTTTTTGGTTTTATTTACAATTCTTTTCTAATTTTTCTCCAAATTCTATCCATGATTTTTCTTTCGCCTTTATACCATTTCTTTTACTTTTTTCCTTTCCTTTTTGTATGTCTCATAACTTGCAACGTCAAAAAAAAATTAAATATGAAAATTATAAAAATTGAAAGAAATAAGAGTGGTGTTCCACCGAATTACAAATTACGTTGCGGCTCTGCTGAAATATTGCCCAGCTCAGGGGTTGCGTGGGCGTGGGTAAATAAGATATAAAAGTGGGCACCACTCGATTTGATAAATATTTCAGCAGGGCGGTTACTAATTCAAATGTTACAATAAAAACCGAGAAAACAGATAACACTTGTTTATTTGTTGAACACAATATTTTGTAATTCCAATAGAAAATATATACTGTCAGTTTTAAGAAATAACTAAATATGCACCAAAATTCTTATAATAAATATTAACTAATATTATTAACGCTCGTTTAAATAATATAAAATATGTTCCGTGTGATCACAGGGTTCACAGCGTGAACTTAACTATATTCAACCATAAAATAAAAGTTATATACCAACTCTGGCAACATTTAACAATGCTAGTAAATTAAATTAAAATCAACTATGCAGCTAGGGCTGCTACAATGTAACACAATAATGCGATCCTACTTTGGACAAAATAAAATAACCTGAGTTTTGCAATATATATAAAAAACAATAAACTAAATAAGTGATACCGATATCCTGGTGCGGTGACTCCCGCGACAACCTGTCTAGGTTACCGGTATGGTCTAGTGGTAACGTCAAATCGGGTAGGTGTCGTGGCCGGTGGTGTCGTCACAATAGGGGTGGGTGAGGCGGCAGGCGTCGGGCTCAGTCTTACCCCTGTCGTCTCACAAACGTCGCATCAGGTAATATACACAGGGTGATCCGGACTACCTTCGCGGTATGGAATGTCGCGGTCACCCAGGTCAGAAAAAGGTGTTGGTCAAAATCGGTATTATATCAATATGGTCGGGTAGCTGGATTACACCGACTGTAAAAGGTGGTGGTGAAAATCAGGACTATATACTATATATTTGGACCCTAAAAGTACATAACAAAAAATATACCACATGGCATCAGACAGAATTAATCCACTTACGCTGGTGTCTTGACTAAATTAACAAAAGTTTCGACACGATGGTGTGTGCGGTCTAAGTGTGGCGCTTTGGAGGAACCGTGAAACTAAATAGAAATACTATTGTAACGACAAGTACAAAAAACTAAAGAACCAAGATGGCTTACCCTGTAAGAACTTTGTGATCCGGAATAAATCCGCTGTGTGTGCACACACAGCGGATTTATTCCGGAATGAGGAATCCACAATCAAAACCAAAAATCAACAATCCTCAACACACCTTTATTCTTCTGCTTAACTTGATTAATCCCAAACTACTTGGATGGCTCAAAAAGCACTTAATATTTCAAATTATGCAGGCTTCGGTCTTACAGGTTGCACGGTTAACACAAAGATGATGCCGGAAATATAGTTAAGGGAAGTGGTTTGGAATTTCAAAGCGTTGCTTGCGCAAATGACCTAATTACGTCCACTGAAAATCACATTGACATAAAAAAATGTAGAATTACGCGTAACTCCAATTGATTGAATCTCCAGGTTGGATTTAGAATTATCCGTATTACTAATATGTCATATAAAGTAGTTACTATAATTGTAACGTAACGAAATCCAAGATAACCCTGCAAATGTCCATAAGTAAACGACAAATGTCTATCTACACGTTACGAATGTCAATGGGATGGCACACTTTACTACGTTTGGCCTTGAAACTCCAACGGTTTAAATTATAACCTACAATTGACAGCTGATCCCAAACAATACATTTTAAAGCCAAAATAAATGTAAATGGTCAAAACTATGTCCGATTTTAGATGAAAAACAAAACTAACAACACATAACGAGGTTTCACACAATCCGCCAGGCCTCCACGGATGAAATCTAACGAGTAATTATTTTGGGTAAGTAATGCTACAAAATCTACGTTTAAACATTGAAATATTACTAAATATTCATTTTCAGGTCGACCGCCTGTGATATATAGCCACAATGACTAAGGAGGCCAGTGCCCTACTATCATAATGAAGAAATATTAACAATAACCTACCAAATAATATTAATGATCGTAATGTCCTAATAAAGACAAATATTAAGAAAAACCATGGATTTTATTGTTAGAAACTATGTTCAGGTAAAACTATTAGAGTTACTGTTAAATTTTTGATAATTTTAAATAAAATAAGCCCATACAAAAAGTGAAACGTTTTTTTTTTACTAGGTAATTTTTCCATGTTGTTTTTTTTACTTTGATTTGTTTTTTAATTTCTTCAGTCCACCATGCAGATCTTTTCTTTTCTCCATTCTGTTTACTCACACCACATACTTTTTTCGCTGTTTTGATTACTATGTTTTTAAAGTATGTCCATATCTGGTCAATATTCATATTTTCTGTATTTTTCTTATAGTTCCCAAAGTTTTTATTTAGTATTGCTTCAAATTTTAGTGCTATTTCTTTATTTCTTAGTTTTTGGTACCTTATTGTTTCATTTTCCGCTTTTCTTATTTTATTTTCTTTGATTTCTGTATATTTTTTAAATTTTGACACCACTAAAAAATGGTCACTACCAATTTCTGGTCCTCTTCTAACTCTTGTATATAGCACCATTTTTCTGTTTGCTCTTTCAATTAGTATGAAATCTATAATTGACTTTTCGTCCCTACTTTTAACTTCTATTGTATATTTATGTATGTTTTTGTGTTCAAAAAATGTGTTTGTTATAATTAATTATGTAATATACAAAAGTCTAGCATTCTTTTACCATTGTTGTTTCTTGTATTTTCTCCATAATCACCTATCACTGTATTGTATGTTTGATCTTTTCTTCCTACTCTGCTATTAAAATCTCCTGCTATATACAATTCTCCCCTAGATCCTTCTGTTGCTAGTGATAATTTTTCCCAAAATTTGTCTTTTATGTCTTTTGTATCATTCTCATTGGGGCCATAGACTATAATGATTGTTTTTAGTATGTTTTTCTTTTTGTTCTTTATTGCAACTGTTAGTATTCTTTCCGACCAAGCCTGCCATTCCTCTATTTCCTCCTTTAATTTCTTGTGTATTATACACCCGACTCCAGCAGCTGCTCTTTCGTTTAGTTTTACTCCGCTAAAAATTAATATATTATTGTTGTATAACTTTGTTATCCCTTGTCCCTTTTTCTTAGTTTCTGTTATCGCCAAAATGTCAAGACCTAACTCTTCAAACTCTTCTTCTAATTCATTTTCTTTACCTTGTATACTTTTAATGTTCCATGTCCCAATTTTCCAGTTTTTTTTTGTTTCTTTATCTTTTCGTTTTTCCTTTTCTTTGCCCATTTTGTCTCTTTTGATACCTTCCGATTTTTTATTCTTGTTTAATAGTTTTTTGGAGGATTGTCGGTAGTAGCCTATTAAACCTAAAAATGATTTACTGACTTAACAACCGAGCATATAAGCTGAGGGAGTAATTTGTTTTGATTGTGTTCCACTACACCAAGTTGCCCGACACTGATGAGACCCAATAAAGGTCGAAACAGCTGTCTGTCGGTATTTGAAGTTGGTGGAACGCATTCAAAACAAAAATCTTTGGCGAGGTGTAGGTTCAATTTTTTCTTATGAATATTACCAGTGATGGGTCAAGAAAGTTTCTTAAAGAAACTAAGAAAATTGAATGTTTACCTTAATGTTTAGCCCGTTTGGGTTAATTCTAGATTCCTTTAGGCCATATTAGTATCTGTGATACAATTGCTGTGTGCAGTCTCGGTTGCATAGTATGTACCGATTGCGGCAAAGGCCACGTCGTTTGACGGTGTGGATCACCTGATGTTCTTACATCTCGCCTCTGTTGACTTAACAACCGAGCATATAAGCTGAGGGAGTAATTTGTTTTGATTGTGTTCCACTACACCAAGTTGCCCGACACTGATGAGACCCAATAAAGGTCGAAACAGCTGTCTGTCGGTATTTGAAGTTGGTGGAACGCATTCAAAACAAAAATCTTTGGCGAGGTGTAGGTTCAATTTTTTCTTATGAATATTACCAGTGATGGGTCAAGAAAGTTTCTTAAAGAAACTAAGAAAATTGAATGTTTATCTTTTACTGTTTTTGGTATTGGAAATTGTTTAATAGCTTTAATTTTATTAGGATTTGGTTTAATTCCTTCTGGTGTAACTACATGTCCTAAAAATTCGACTTCTTTGCGTAAAAATTCCGATTTATCTAATTGGATTTTTAATTTTGATTTCCTTAATTTGTCAAAAACTAATTGTAAATTTGAGATGTGTTCATCAAGTGAACTTGAAAAGATAATAATATCGTCCATGTAAACAAGGCATATTTTATTTTGTAAGTCATGTAAAAAGTTGTCCATTACTCTCTGAAAAGTCGCTGGTGCGTTTTTTAGTCCAAAAGGCATACGTGTATATTCAAAATGACCGTTTTCAACATTGAATGCGGTTTTTTGAATGCTTTCCGGATGCATTTCGATCTGGTGAAACCCTGAGGCTAAGTCCAGAGTAGAGAAATATTGACAACGTCCGAGTTTGTCAAGGATGTCATTTATTTTAGGGATTGGATATCTGTCATCTATTGTTTTTTCGTTTACCTTGCGGTAATCGACAACAATACGCCATTTTTTATTACCTGAGGCGTCAAGTTTCTTAGGCACAATCCAAATTGGAGAGGACCAAGGACTAATGGAAGGTCGTATAATACCATCATCTAACATTTTGTTAATTTGTTTTTGGACTTCAAATTTATGACAAAAAGGATATCTATAGGATTTCGTGTAAACAGGAATTTCGTCAGTTGTTTTTATGTCATGTTTTACTTGATTACTAAATGTCAGTGAGTTTTCGCCTGTATAGAAAATGTCTGAGTAATTTTTACATAGATTTACAATTTTATTTCGTTCTTCTGAGTTAAGATGGTCTGTTCTAATTAAATTTTGTATATTAGTGTTATTTTGTCGTTTAAAATCTGATGTTAGATTTTCTATATTAAAAATTGTAAAATGTTCTTTTTTCGAATCAGGAAAGGGAATACAATTTAAAGGTTCAGTTAGTTCAATGACTTGCTGTTGATCTGTAAAGTTTCTTATTTCAATATACGCAAAACCTTTATCAGCTACGGATAGAGTTTCTGGTATATGGCAATTATTTAATAATTGTTCTTTTATTATTACCTCACCTAAGTAAACATTTACCTTGACTTTGACTTTTATTATTTCAAATGCATTGACCTTTACAATTTGCTTATCATTTGGTGGTTTATTTCTATATTGAATAGGAATTTGAATATGATTATTAAAAATTATTCTATTAGGGAAATCAATTTTAAATCCTAAGTTATTTATATCGTTAAAACCTATCAAGCCGTCAAAATAGTTATGAAATGTAAACAAATAAAAAGTAATGAATTTATCACTCTCTATTGGAAAAAGATTTGATATATTTACGTCTGCTTTAAATCTGCAACTATTTTTTCCGTTACATGTTTCTAAAACAAAAGGGTCGTGAAAAATATTTTCTGGGAAATATTTTTCTGCTAATTCCGGTTTTAAAAGAGATTTTGTAGCACCTGTATCTATTAAAAGTTTTAATGGGGGGTTTTCTAATTCAATATAACCTAAGGCATTTTCGTCAATTATTGTGTTTATTTCTATATAATCGTCGTATGCTATGTTGTCTTGTTGTTCATAGATTCCGTATTAAAATTTTCGTTTTCAATTTGGGGTTCGAATGATTGTTCGTTTAAAAATTCGTCTTGTGAGTAATTTTCGTCGTATGTTTGATTGTCAGAGTTTCTTCGAAATTTTCTTCGTAATTTTGTTCGTCTAAATAAGGATCAAAAGATTCATTATTTTCTAGGTTGTAAAGTTCGTTTGCATTAAAATTACGGGGACCAGATGGTTGAAAATAGTTTGGTCGCATAGTTCTTGGGTTTAAAACTGCGGTGGAGATTCCAGACATGGGGGTTGGTCTGTTTTGTGGGGTTTGTCCATTGGGTTTAAATACATTTGTCGATTTTTGGGGACCAAAAACGTCTCTGTTAATGGGATATCTAACTGGTTGGATATTTGATTTGGGTCTTATATTTACAGGACCAGTTGGAAATGGTTGTTTAAAATTTTGAGGGGTGTAATTATTTTGGAAATTTGAATATTGATAAGGTTGTGATTGATAATGTTGTGATTGATAATTTTGTGGTTGATAAGGTCTATATGGAGTTTTATACAATTGAGGATTGGGTTGTTGATATTGTTTTGGTGGTTGATAATTTTGGGGTTTATTTTGTATTAATTGTTTATTAATTGGGGTTTGTTGGAAAAGTCGAGATTGATTTTGTCCGTATTGAAAGTTTTCTTCTTCGATAACACAGGTATACAAGGTTTTGTACACAGGCAACTTAAAGGTGATTTTAGGGTAATAACATGGGCTGATCACGAATCTGATATCCGTTTTTCTGGATCAGGTGAAGTTTGTCAAATATACGATAATGGTGTTTTTTGTTATTTTATTAGAAAATTGACTATTTTAAATTGAAGTGCAGTAGAACTGCGTTTTTTATAATTGTATGGGTTTGTTTCACGTATAAGTGACCAACAACCCAACTAACAATTTAAGTTTTATAGAAACTCTTAGAACGTTTACAGAACATATTTTATAAAATATTAGTTGTTCTATAAACACTTTAACAATGTTCTTACAGCTCTTGTAAGCATGGAATTGGCGCAGATTATAAAACAAATCGGCTGTAAGACATGCTCTATAAATGTTGTTTGTTGCTATAATAAAACAGTTCTTAGAACATTTATAAATGTCTAATAAAAATAAAAATAGAACGTTTATAAAACTGTTTTATAACAGCTCTGTTACTTGGATGAAAAGAGACAGTTAAAGGACTTTTTTAGAGCTGTTATAAAAATGTTTTGTAAATGTTTTATAAAGCTCGTAACTTAAGCTATTTTGCTACGAGCGCCAATAGTTACAGGATAAAAAAGTTCTTTTAACATTCCTATTGACATAAAATTGTTTTTAAATATGCAATTAGTCTCTTTAGTTGTTGTTTAGAGATGCCAAAACCTGCTAACATTGTAGCAAAAATAAAATGACAAATGGCTGATACGGTATAAAAAGAATGAGTAAAAAAATCACCTATGGAGCAGATGTTGCTGCGAAATTAAATGTACTGTTAAGTATATGGTACAATCCTAACAAAATTTTAATGCGCCTCTCGAATTATGATAATTAAGGACATCTAAAATATAATTTAATTAATAAACAAAACAAAAAAATGATATATTTTTGGTAAATATTTTATTACGACTTTCTACATTATAAACTGACAGTCCAGCATACTCATCTTTTACGAGACACGAAAAAATATAATTTAAAAATGTTGGTCGAGACCTGCATTCATATGGTTGTCGCTTTAAAGGCTCCCAAAATGGCCACTTTCTTATACGATCCTTATGAATCAGAATTGTCCGAATCAGGACAATTATGCTCTGTAAGTAGCTGTTATAAAAATCAAACCGGATTTCTCTAGGCAGAGGCGTACTCCGTTTGCCATGGATTATTATCAGTGGTAAGGGGCCATCCAAAAATTACGTCACACGTTAAGGGGGGGCAACGAAAAGTGACACTGTGTGACAAGGGGCAGGGGGGGTCAAAAGCTGTGTGACGTCACATGTTAAAATCTAAAGTACCAAAATGCCGAAAGTTATATGCAAACCAAAAACTTAAAAATATTACTAACGATCTATATTTTATTTAAATTTAAAAACATGTTTTATTTAATTAAGTACTTCTAAATATGAAATTAAAAAAAAAGTGACATCACAACAGGGGGGAGGGGGTTTCACAAGTGTGACCACCTGTGATAGGGGCGGGGGGTCAAAAAACCACAAAATTTGTGTGACCTAATTTATGGGGCCCCTAAAGGAGATGGGCGATTTGTGCATACCTGCAAAGACTGCAAAATACCTTCATAAAAAAAATAGCAAATTTGGCACGTGTGATCGTTTGAAATATTCGAATAAAAAAAGAAAAAACTAAGAATTTACCTAAATAAACAAACCGCAAAATGTCATAAAATAATGGGTATCTAAATTCAATATGTTACTACACTCGCACTGCGCATGTGCAAAACCAAAATCCACTGCGAAATTCGCAAAATTTGAAATTAAGTCAATATTCCCGCCCCCCAGATTTTAAATTTTGCGAATGGCAAAAATCTTGAAGACAAGCTTCATGTCATTTGTCATATTTAAACTCAACCAATAGGATCGTTATTCGCTTTTCGCAATTCACGATTCGCAAGTATATGAACTAAGC